TATATGTGTATATGATATTTTGGGATGTCACATTTATGGTATCAGAGCAGTTTTTATCCTTAGAGAACCTGTAGGGTATGTACATCCCTTGTTTGTGCTTGTGTGCCTTAAATGTACGGAAGCATTCTAAATTCTTGAGTAAGACTAATTGTTTTGCTCTTTGATCCTAAACAGAATATGGCGCCTAGACCTCCTCCTCCACCTCCACAACTCAATTAGACGGAAATGATGCGGATGATGGAATCACTAATGAACTCCATGCAACAACAAAATAATGCACTAGTCCAACAAAATACCATGGCACTACAAAACTTAGAAGCCGCTAGAGTGGCCTCGGAAAGTGCTAGGGTGGCAGCTGAGGCCACCCAAAGACAATTCTTAGAGGTGATGACTAGTGGCAGGATTCCCACCGGTCCTTCTTCTTCTTCGACTGCTCCAACTCAAGAATGGAGTTTGGAGAAATTCTTGCAGCATCATCCTGCCAAGTTTGATGGCAAATGCTCACCAGATGAAGCCAATCAGTGGCTTCATGATATGGAGAGAGTCTACAACGCCAAGAGGTGCCCTGATGAGAACAAGTTGTCTTATGCTGAGTACTTGTTGACTGGAGAGGCAAGCCACTGGTGGAGCAGTGCAAGTATGATCTTAGAGGGAACTAGAACCCCTATCACATGGGACCTATTTAAGAGGAAGTTCTATAGGGAATACTTCCCTGACACTCTTAGGTATGCGAAAGAAGTGAAGTTCTTGGAGCTAGTACAGGGAAACATGTTAGTATCTGAGTATACTAACCGTTTCAAACATCTCCTTCGATTTAATACCATGACGGTGGATGAAGAATGGCAGTGCCACAAGTTTGAAAACGAGCTGCATGGTGACATCAAGCTCTTGGTTAAGGGACACCGTTTGAGGGAGTTTCTGACGTTAGTAGAGATGGCTAGAGATATGGAGAAAACCAAGAGAGAAGTCGAGGGATACCCTAGCCGTCAGGCCCAGCCACTGAGGGTTGGGGGACCAGCCATGTCTAGAGGCGGGTCCAGTTCCAGGAAGGCACCATACTCCCGATCTTCTTCTTCTCGTAGTTCTGGAGGATCTTCTCAGCCTTCCGTTCAGCCGAGCCAATCCTCCTCTCTGAGTGGCGTGAGATGGTATGGATGTGGAGGTCCTCACTACTTATCTTCATGTCCCTAGAGGACTAATTTTCGGAGGTGCAACCGATGCCACGGGGAGGGCCACTATAAGCGTGATTACCCTATGGGTAGGAGAGCTACTTCCCAGTCGCAGCATGCAAGGAGATCTCAACACAGAGGTGGCATCAGACCTCAAGCCACCAGATGTGTTTATGCATTGACGAGGGCAGAAGCAGCTAGCTCAGATGATTTGATCTTTGGTACATGTTTATTGGGTGGTAGATCTTGCATGGTCTTGTTTGACTCGGGAGCGACACACTCATTTGTGTCAGATACTTGTACTAGAGAGTTAGGATTAACAGTGAGAGAGCTACAGTATGACTTGACTATATCTACTCCTACTTTTGGGATAATGAAGACATCTACAGTCTGTGTTAGATGTTCAGTAGTGGTTGAGGAACGTCATTACAAGGTAAACTTGATATGTTTACCTTTGCAGGGTTTAGATGTCATCCTAGGGATGGATTGGTTGTCTGCCAATCGTATTCTCATTGATTGTGGAGAGAAGAAGCTAGTATTTCCCAATGAGGAGAATTACACACCTCTGACTCTTAGTATGTTGAGACAAGACCTAATAGAAGGTGCATGTTGTTTCCTGATACTATCACACATGGAAGTAAAGCAAGGAGATTCTGACATGGACCTCTCGGTAGTCAGTGAATTTTTAGATGTGTTTCCTGAGGAGATTCCTGGCTTACCTCCTCCAAGAGAGGTAGAGTTTTC